CCCTTATTTTCCTTCAAATTAAGGCCAAATTGAGCCTATGAGTTCAAAACTCTATTGTTTACCTCTAAACTAGTCGCAAAACTCTAATTTAACTCCTAAGAACCTTTTCATTACTATTGGGTAAGAAACAAACCACTTAACTTTCACCGATTGAATTTCTCTACAACTTATATTCAAAGAAATTTAGGTAGAATGAAAGGTAAGGGTTGTACGAAGCTTACCCGATAAGTTACTGATCAAAAGTTCCTTCCAATGCTCTGAAACTTCTTGCCCTATCACACCTCAAGTTCTTCTCTTCTCCTTCTCGTGTGTTTCTAATTTTTCTCTTCTAAAATCATCCAAATTTCATGACTTAAGGGATCATTTTTTGGTTCATGCGCTGCGATGCATGCAACCTATGCCATAGGCATGGCATAGTGAGGATAATCCTCACCATGCGCACACATTTTAACCTGAAATGCGATCCTTCCACATGTATTTGCTCATTTAAAATCCAAATGATACAAATTATCAAGCAACCATCCAAATTCCTAATCCTTTACTAATTACCAATCTACCCCTGATTAATAGTTAATCAAAAGATTAAGAAATTAGGATGTTACATTAAAGACTTATGCCAATCTATGACTTAACTCTTGAAACTAGTCCTAGTTCTTGCCTTGATCATGTTCAATGCCTTAAACTAATTAAGATTATGATATCAACTAGAGTTTAAAACTTAAATAATAGCTAATGCATATCCAAACAACAAGAGATTGAAATGAAAATATGTATTTATTCATCAAAACCTTGAGGTATAAACACAAACACTTAGAGTGCACAACTAGTTTAAGAATCAAGTACATATCTTCTTCTTTAAACAAGAAATTTGGCCAATATAAGACAACTAAAACCTAGATTGAATCATCAAGAATGCAAATGGAAGAATCAACAAAGAAGATGAGAAGAATAAAAAGTAAAATGAAATGAAAAATAGAGTTAGAAAAACTCAAGCATAGGCTTCATCTCCTTGAAGAGCTTAAAAAAGATCTAGCTATTCGTGGATATTCTCTTCACAATCCATGTGGAGATTCCTCCTTGAATGGCTTCCATATCTTCAAACCTTGATTGAGAAAAGGAGAATGATACCTAGAAGTAAAGAGAATGAGAGAAAATGAAATGAAAGCAGATTTGAAATTGTGAAGTGAGAAAATGAATGAGTGATGGAAACAATATGATTTGAGTGAGTCCACTTTATAAATCATGTCCAGCTCGCTTGGTCAACATGTGAGGGTGTAGAATAAGTGAAAGAGAGTGGATTCTAGGTGATCGAAACCAAGGATAAATCTAAAACTACTTAACTATGGATTCAGACAAAATTTTAGATATCACACCATCTCTAATTTTACAATGCTTTTTATTCTCACGGTTACTACAACAAGTTCTCTCAATCTCAAAGTTCAAATCAAATTGATGTTGTGAAGACCTTATCATACACCAACAAACCAACAAAATCGATGAAAATACAACAACAAGCAAAGAAAAATAAAACACTAGATCTGAAAAAAAAATCCTAAAAAATTCAAAAAAATTAATGAGAAAAATAAAGAAAGAAAGAAAAACTAAAAACCAAACTCAAATTCAAGAACGTTGGCATATGAAATCAAACAATCATGAAAGGGACTTATCAATCTAGAAGCTTTTTGAGCTTGAAACTTTATGTTATATAATTATAGTATAATTGTCATTTTCAATAATTATAGCTAAATATTTGTCCTTATGCTTATGCATGATATGGACAATAAATTAAATTTTTCGGAAGATTCAACTTATTTTCCTGATACTTTTCTGAATAAATAAAAAGACGTTGTAAAAAGTAAAATAGATATTTAGAAAAATATTAGTATAACATATAAAAGTATGGGAACGAGAAAATGTAATTATTCATAAGTTTAATGTGACGTGACACGTGACTTCTTGTAATGTTTATGTTTTATTGATATTAAGTGTATTAACCAATTTATTAAATTCAACTATTAAGTGAGAATGACTTCTTCTCCACCATCTGCCATCAGTAAAAGGTGAAGAAGAAATGAAATAATGTTTATTGACGTGACTTCTCTATCTCGTTACCAATCTTTTGACACCGAATTATCTACAGGGTAAAAGAATGAAAATATTTACAAAATAATCAGACACTCGGTATTTTAAAATGATAAAAAAGATAAAAATATTTATAATATTAAATAAATAGGTATAAAAATAATTAGATCGTTAACTTTGACCTAATATCATTAACTTTAACTGTTAAATAATAACTGTGCATGTCACGTGTCAGTATTTACTGAGGTGGAGTAAAAAAGGGGTAAAAATACCCATGAAATCGTAAGCCAAGAGTAAAAATACTCATAACGTTACCAAAATTGGTACATAAGTGATCAATCCATCTAATCCCTTAAATATTGACCGTTTAGCTAATATCTAAGTAAAAGTTGACTATTTTTTTCACTGATATAGGCAAAAAATATTCCTAGATAAATTTCTCCGAAAGTTAATCGGTTATTGTATGAATATCATGTGAGAAAATTTTATTTTGACTGAATATCAAATTAAATTGCTTGTTTCTTTGCAATAGTGGCGAAAATTATTTAAAAATTTTAAATTTATTGTGGATGCAATTGCTTAAAGTTGTGATAATGTTCTTAAACTAAATATGCTCAGTCTCAATTTTCAATTTTGAATAACCTATCTCACTATATTAAATCTTAGGTTTTACAGACAAGAAAAATGAGTGAAGAGGGAGAAAGGAAGGGAGTGAGATACATGGTGATGGAAAGAAAGCATATGGCATTAATTTTGACGGATTGATTACTATTGCACCTACTAAAGTAACATTATAGATACTCATACAATGAGATTAACATCCATAAAAATTTATTCAGGAATATTTTTTGTCTACATTAGTGAAAAAAATACTCAATTTTTGCTTATGTGTTAGTTAAACAGTCAACATTTAAGGGATTGGATGGATTGATCACTTTTGCACTAATTCTGATAACGTTGTAAGTATTTTTGCTCCTAGCCTACGACCCTTTTTTAGTCCACGTCAGCAAAAACTGACATGTGATATACACAATCAGTATTTAATGGTCAAAGTTAATAATGTTAGGTCAAAGTTAATAGTCTGATTACTTTTGTACCCATTCATTACTTTTGTACCCATTCATATAACGTTATAGATATTTTTGTCCTTTTCATTACTTTAAGATATTAGGTTCCCGTGGCTGATTACTTTATAAGTATTTTTGCCCCTTTACCCTTTTATATATATATATATATATATATATCTCCCCCAACCCCCCTAAAAAAAGCACTGTATTTGTCATAATTTACCTATAAAGAAAATGAAAAATCAGGGTGATCAGCCTAATTATTATTCATTCCATGTAAGCCACTTTTAATTATTTCATTAAAATTAAAAAAATATTGAAATTATTGACAGTGTTTGAAAAGAAAAGAGAATTCTCAAATTAAATAGTAATCTTTAAATACATTTTTCTCATTTAAAACTGTAAAAAGTTAATAGAATAAAATAATTAATAATCTATCTATTATTTTATATATAATTGCTTATAAAAAATTATCAATTTTTTTATAAATTAATTTATACATGCACAAGAAGAAGCAGTTTTTTTTCCCTAAAGTATGCATTTAATTATTTAAATTTACATAAGTTTTCATTTTAATCTCATATTTTTATAAAATATCTTTTTAATCTTTTAATTTTACAAAAAGAATCGGTTGAGGTTCATTGAATCAATCGACTTACTGGTAGCATATAACTTTAATTTGTTTCTTTTTTTGTACCCAAATAATGGAGGTTTATACATTATGTATGTTAGTCCTTGAATCCTATTGTGGTAATTATTGCTAGTTTTATTCATAAAAAATTTTTACATTTAATTTTTAAATATTAAAATAATATTTTTAAATGTTAGCATATTAAATTTAATTTTTTAAAAATAATAATAATTAATATAAAAAATAATTATTTAGAATTAATAGTGTTAAGATTAAATAATTAAAAAATATTTTATAAAATTAAAATAATAAACTAAAACCTTGGGCAAAGATGAACGATTACAAAAATAATTTGATTTTAAAAATATATATATATATATATACTCTCTCCGTTTAAAAATATAAGTCAATTTTTGAAGAGTTGGATGTTTAAAAATGTAAGATATTTTTAATCTTTCGAGGTGTAATCATTACCTTTTTTTTAAAAGTGCTTCCATTGATAGTAACTTTATATTTATTATAGGGTGTTTAATAAGGATAAATATGAAAAGATAGAGTTAATTAAAAAGTAGGTAGCTATTTTATTAAAGGATAAAATTTGACTAAAAATTTTTATATTTTAAATGGAGGGAAAATATGATGGGGGATGAACTTAAAAAGTTGAGATTTAGTGCCTGATTGGATATTTCATTTTCTACATTTCAAAAGAACTTTTATGACTTTTAGAAAGTAAAAGTTGTTTGCCTACATTTTATTTCTAAATATACATTTTAAAAGTCCATTCATATTAGCATTAAAAATCCTTTTTTAAAAAATTAGAGAGAGTTGCTTTTGACATTTTAAATGTGAGAGTTAAAATTTTTAACCAACTCTTTTCCATGTTGTCCCTTATTAATATTTTTTTAAAATGCAAATAAAAATATTATATATTTTTTAATAAATCAACATTAACATAAAAAAATCACATATGATAAAATTTATCTTTTTTAATAATTACACATTTAAAAACATTTTCTATCATATATTATCCAAATAATTTTTAATTTATCAAATTGATTTTTAAAAAATTATTCAAACACAAATCTTATTATAATAATTAATTTTTAATAAATTAATTTTTATCATTTAAACTTTTTATAAATAAATTTTTATCAAATTAAAAACTAAACGCTTCCTTAGATAATGAAGTCATAATACAAAGTTCGATATTGATGCAGTAAGTTTCTGCAGTTCGCAAGAACACGATTCGATTATCACTTTATCCCCAAACACAAGGACAAGGTGGGCAGAGGGTGGAGATGCGTCCTGGCTTCACAGTTCTGTAAAAAGACACCGTTCCACTGTGTTTGATTTTTTTTACCGGTTACCTCTGTCAGTGTTGAGTATCCAAGAAATACGGGATGTCGAAGTTGGTGTGCGTCACCGGCGGCAGCGGCTGTATAGGCTCATGGCTCGTCCATCTCCTTCTTGAACGTGGCTACACCGTTCACGCCACCGTCAAGGATCTAAGTTACGATCACCTCTTCTTCTATTTCTCAATCATACATCGTAAAGTGGTACTGTTAATTCGCGTTGTTACTGCACAGTTCTTTCTTAATTTCTGCTCTTTATCTGAATGATAGATGATAATTCTGAAACAAAGCATCTGGAAGCTTTTGAAGGCGCTGAGGCTCGCCTCCGTCTCTTCCAGATCGACCTCCTCGATTACAACTCCATCGTTGCAGCCGTCGCTGGCTGTGCCGGCGTTTTTCATCTCGCTTCTCCTTGCATTGTCGATCGAGTTCAAGATCCTCAGGTCCAATATTCATTTTCGATTCCTTTAAATTTGGTTGATAATTTCTGAATTATTTGTTTTTTTTTTTTTCCTTTTCCCGCAGAAGGAGCTTCTGGACCCGGCGATTAAAGGCACAATCAATGTACTCACGGCGGCTAAGGAGGCAGGGGTGAGCCGTGTCGTAGTAACTTCATCGATCTCGGCAATTACTCCGAGTCCTAAATGGCCATCTGATGTTATTAAGAATGAAGATTGCTGGACCGATATTGAATACTGCAAGGAAAACCAAGTGAGGGTTTATTTTTTATTTATTCTTGTTGGTTTTCGTGTTGTTATGTATAGATGTGTGACTTCAGCTTTGAACTGTTATGGACCAGTTATGGTATCCGATTTCTAAAACATTGGCTGAGAAATCTGCTTGGGATTTTGCTAAGGAGAAAGATTTGGATATTGTGGTGGTGAATCCTGGCACTGTCATGGGTCCCGTGATTTCTCCAAAACTTAATGCAAGCATGATAATGCTTGTACGTCTGCTTCAAGGTAAGTATTCTCTTGAAAACTAACCATTTCCAATCTAGGCATGATGATGGTTGATTTTATATATACATATATATGTATAAATATCAATTTGAACTTTTGTAAAATTCAGTAGGGCCACGGGGGCATATATGAACCATTGATGTGTCAAATTTGATGCAGTTGGTCTATGCGATGACTGGTGTAATCTTGTAGCCTCTACAATTCTATTTTTGAAGACTGAAATTTCCAGCTATATCCTTTCTATCTTTGCTCGTTCTGTTTTCTACTGTCTAGGCAGATTTATCAAGGGTGGAAAATGAGTGCATATATAGGGGGTATTTGATTTGCATTTCTGGGCATCTTGGGGGTAAGAACAGGCCATGTAAATGAGCAGTCCCCCTAAGCTTTCAAAGTCTCAATGCCATGCCTCCTAAAGATCAACCTATTTTCACTTCAATTATGCTTGATTCTTTTCTGACCGGAAAAATTCCTTCTTGTTAGGTTCTGCCAAAGTGTACTTTGAATATAAAAACTTATGCTTCTGGATCTGGCTTTAGATTTTCTGGAATTACTACTAATACTCTTTTGTGTTCTTATTGCAGGCTGCACTGACACATATGAGCACTTCTTTATGGGATCAGTCCACTTTAAAGATGTGGCCTTAGCTCATATTTTGGTGTATGAGAACAAAGCAGCTTCTGGCAGGCATTTGTGCGTTGAAGCTATCTCTCACTACGGAGACTTTGCAGCAAAGGTAGCTGAACTTTATCCAGAGTATAATTTGCCTCGGTAAGGAAACTGACACGCCTCAGAATTGCAAAATTTAAGAAAATAGCATGCATCGTTGATAGGGAGTGCTGGGATGAAGGAAGCTCGTCTACATGACTTAATGAATAAACACACTGCCTTCTTCTTTGTCATTGAACAACTCCGTTCATGCTGGGAGAAATATTTTTCAGCAATTGACATGTGAATTTTGCATGCCATCAATCATCAGCAATATTTTCTTGGTTGAATTATTAATAATTTTACATGATGCTACATCGTTATCTACTTCCAAAAAAAAAAAAAAGTACATACTATAGCTTGCATTAGACTTCATTCTCACATGTGGAAGAGGAAAAAGTTTTGTCAATCAGAGTATGGTTTGAAGTGAACTTCTTGTTTTAAACCTGCGGAATACTGTTGTCCGTGTGAATACATCGCAGTTGCATTAAATCATCCTGGTTTATTACCCCAACTGCAAAACCTCCCTAATCAGAAGTTAATAATTCAATCTAAGCTATTCCATGTAATTTAAAAAATAGCTCCTCTGTTGAATGTAAATAGATTACAGTAAAGCATATTGAAGGGTTGACCCTTATATTCCAGAACTTGTTCAACTGAATTTACCTCTTTTGTTTTCTTTTCTATGAAGTTTGCCTCGAGATACCCAACCAGGATTGTTGAGAGCTAAAGATGCATCCACGAAACTGATGGATTTGGGTTTGAAATTCATTCCAATGGAGCAAATTATCAGGCAAGCCGTAGAGGACTTGAAGAGCAAGGGGTTCATTTGATCATTTCTTGAATGACTCATTTCATAGCAACGAGAATGAGTACTCATCGGAGATGGCACGATTAATGAATGTACAATAATGTACAAATGGTTATGAGAGGTTATGGGAGCCCATAACTTGGTTGGTATGGATCGATGTTAGCTTAACCAAAATAATGTTTGACTGTTTACCCAATGGCTCTGCAAAATCTAGTTGGACTCTTAGATTGTGATGTGTTTTACCGGTGTAATCTTGTAAATTAAAGTCAAATGTTTTTCCCCCCTTCATCGCCCCATATCTTGGGAAATTTGGTGGTGTTATCGCATCCCATCCAAATTAATTTGAATTTTCACTGTGTTAAATTATTATTGTCAACAACAATCTCATGAGTATTTAGGGATGCTTTTGATATATTTTTTGTTTTTAATGTGACTATTTATCTCAGGACTCAAACTTGAGATTTTATGATAAATTAATTAAACTTCCTCAACTAGTTGAGTTAAGAGACTCCTTAAATCAAATGTGTCTGAATGACTCAGAAACAATAAAAAAATAAATAAGTAAAGTTGCTGTTAAGATTTTTAATTTTCCAAGTGTATATGACATGATTTTTTCTTTTTTTTCCTTACAGCTCATTAATCTAGTTGTTAACCTCAACTTATTAACTTATTTTTGAAATGTAAAATTTTAATAAACCACTTGTTTTATATTTTTAAACTAGGGTTTTGTCCAGAATAATCGATTAATTTTTGTATCCAAGTAGGCACAAAATGGAGGAGATCTAAATTTTATGAAACAAGACATTTTTCTTTGAATATAACGAAAATTATATAAAAAAGAAAGTGAAATACAATTAATATAATTAAAACTAGCAATCTGACGTGGGAGCCAAGACTCAGAGTTTGAGGAGGGGGCATCAAAAATTAAATAAGAAATTGAGGGGAAACAAGAAAGAAGGTTATTGATGTCCTTATTGATAACTAAATGTGAGCAGCATACACGATATAGTCGGAAGAAAATTTTCAATTTGCGAATGACGTTGAGAGAAAAGGAGAACAACTCATTTTCAGTAGAGAAAATCTTTGACTTAGTGAAGCACAAATCGAAAGCAATCATTTGCAAAGAAAGCTTTAATTATTACTTTCGCATAGTTTAGGTGATAATTTGTAGAATTCGAGCATTGAATTAACAAGATTGAAACCTGTGATTTTGGAGAATTACATGATGTGTTGAGAGATGACAAATTGAGAATGGATAAAAGCTAGGGAGCATGGTTAGAGTAAGAGGAAAGCGCGTTCTTACAGCCCAAAACCAATACAAAGTCCAGAGATATTAAGCCCAAGTCAAAGTCCAAGATCACAACGAAAACCAAAAGGAGTAACACCACCACCCCCCCAGGGGGGGAGGAGGAGGAGGGAGAAGGCTAGATAAGGTAAAACAGGCTTTAAGTATTGGCGGGATTTAAGTAGCGTTTCAGGATTAAACTTTCCCGATGCAACATGGTAGAAAATTGATATTTCGTTTAAAAATATAAAATATTTTTTAAAAATTTAAATATTTTAAATTTTAATATTTTAAGGTATAATTAATGTGCTCTTTTTAAAAATATCTCTACTAAATATCACTTTATGTTTATTTTAAAATGAAACACCCTATAATAGGAATAAATTATAGAAAAATTGTGTTAATTTAAAAATAATTAACTATTTTATTAGGGAATGTAATTCAGTTAAAAATACTTTATATTTTTTAATGAAAGGAATAATAATAATTTAATTATTTTTTAATATCTCAAAACTCAATAACAATTTGAAATCTATAAATTTGACATTGTAAGTAACATTAAATTTATGAAATTAAGAAAAATAAATATTGATGGCAATAATTATTTAAAGAATAGAAGAAGAGTTGAAAAAGAAAATCATGCAGAAAATTTTAAAGACATGGGCAATATTTAAAAAAATAATCTATGGGACTTTATAATTTCTCTCAATTAGGTTTCTATAATTTATTTTATTTTAACCGAGGCTTTATAATTTTATCAATTAAATATATCAATTCATAAATATTAAAATTATTGATTTTTTTCTTTTGAAAAATAAAAATTTTATATTTATATTAAAATATTATATAAATTTAGCTTGAATTATATAATTTTAATAACTCAAAATTTATATAATGGAGTTATGCCGTTTATATAACTTTTATATATATATATATATATATATAAAATTTTTGTAAAAATTAGTAAAAATTTAAACATTGTATTTAATCAATTTTTCTTTTTCTTTTAAAGTATCAAATCAAATTTTGTATAAATTTTAAAGGTCTTTTTTAGTTAGGAATTAGCATATATATTTTTAGTGAAATGGAATTCACATATTTAATTTATCAAACAATAAAAAATTGATTAAAAATAATTTATAAGAACTAATTCAAAATTTGAAAAATATAAGATCCTATAAACTATTTTGGGTAAAAAAAGAAAATTAACCTCTAAACCATAGGTTCTAGTATGTCTGAAACTTTAAACTCATTTTTTAATACAATGCATTGTTTTTAAACTCAGACTGGACCTGTTAGTCGGATCGACAAACAAGCAAATCGGTCGTTCGTCTAATCCAATTTTTATTTTAAGGTGGCCTCGACTGACTCAAGTGACCTAAGATTAACCCAAATCTATTTGCCCAACCCCACAAGTCAAATAGGTTGGGGGGTTGAATTTTTTAAAAAAATTTTGACCCTAAAACAACATTGTTTTGGGGTTAGAAAATATTAAAAAAAAAAAGCCCTAATGAACCTCTTCTCCATGTTTGACTCTCAAATTTGGACCTCTCATGTCCATTGCTCCATTCTCGTTCTTTATTCCTTCACGTCTTTAGTCATCTTTTCCATCTCGCTATGCTCTGGCAAGGGCAAAGTCAAGAGTTATGAATAAGGGGGTTAAGATTAAAAAATATATATACTACAAATTTTTTTATAAATTTTAGGGGGTCAAAAGTATATAACCTATATAATACAAAAAAATTAAAAAAATTGGAGGGCCACGACCCATGCTGGTCCCCCTTCCTCTGCCATTGATCCTCAACCATTTTTGAGTGAGCTTAAAGCAATTGCACTGAGTTAAATAGTGAGCTTCAACTTCAAGCAGTTGCTTTGTTGGTCGTCTCATCTCTAAGCTTCAAGCTTTATGGGTCTTGACTCTCAATTATGGAGCTTCAACTCGTTTATTGTTTGTTTGTGAGATTGCATCCTCAGTCATCATCTTTCCTTAATTATTATTGCACCTTCGCTTCTTGTTAGTCATTCCTTGTCAAACTTGTCTCCACCTTGCTTTTTTTTAGGGTTGATAATTTGGGCCAGCTCAAACCCACTCGAAAAAATTTAGGTCGAATCCAAAAAAATATATTTTACTTTTTTATATATAAAATAAAGTTGCATTTTTCTGCAAGAATTTTATGTTGTATTATATTATTTTGTTATGACCAGTTTGACCCCGATTAAACCCCTAACTCCTGATCTCGACTGGTTCAATAATCGGTTCGGTTTTTACTACCTTGGTACAGTGTTTCTTTTCAACTTTTAAAAATGATGTAATCTAATCCCTATGATTAACAAAAGTTACCTTTAATTGTTAATGACCTTAACAAAATGTACTTTTTTATTATTTTTTATTTAACTAATGGTTAAAGTTAACTTTTATTAATGATAGATGTTAGATTACATTGCTTTCAAAAGTTAAAAGAAAACATTAGATTAAAAAAAGTTTATGATTTTAAACGCTCTAGAATTTATTGTTTAGGGGCCATTTTTTCCCCTATTATTTTTGTGTATATATATTTTAGATATAATTTGTCTTCACTTATTTCATGTGTTGGATTCATACTCTCTCTTACAACGGTGTTTTCATAACACGACCTGGGTCACGTGTTACACTTATTAACTCTCAATGACCTTTGCCAATCTTACAGGTTTGGGCCACCATCATTTCTGCTCATCGTATCAACACAATAGCCCATAGAAAAGTAGGATAATAAATAATGCAGGAGAAGGAATAAATGTCCATTTGTCCCACTTCCGGAGGCTGGAATATCTAGTTATCTGCTATTCTACTTTGCTCAGCCAATCAGGATTCCGTTTCGGTGCTCACCTGCTCAGCACCAATTAACACTGCCGTTGCAGTGTTAATTTTTTTTCTTCTTTTTTTTAAACCACAAAATTATTATAATAGTAACATATAAATATGATAAAATTATTATTTTAATATTAATAAATAAATAAACTTAACTCGTTAAAACTTGACCTGAATAATTTAGATAAAAAGTTTGGTGTTGAACAATTAATAATTATATTAAAAATATTTAAAAAATGACATAAAGTTTAAAATAGGAGTTAAGTCTAACAAAATAAGCTAATTTCTCATAATGTAACAAATCATTGGTTGAGTTTTTATTAAAAGAAGTGTATATATTTAATACTTGACTGTGTTTTGAATGATATTACCTCTCGTAAACCAACAACTGTTCAAAATTAATAAAATAAAAAATATTTTATATTCCCTCCATTTAAAAATATGAGGCATTTTTAATTGAATCTCACCCTCAATAAAGTAGTTACCTATTTTTAAACTAACCTTATTATTTTATATTAATCTTATTAAATACTTTATAATAAATATAAAGTTATTTATTAATAGAGACATTTTTGAAAAAAAAGTAATGATTATATCTTGAAAGATAAAAAATACCTTACATTTTTAAACATCTAACTTCTTAAAAAAATGCCTTATATTTTTTAACGGAGGGAGTAAAATATTTTTAGTTATAGTTCTAAATTTTTAGCACAATTCTAAATTGTTCAGATTAAAATTTATATATGAATTGTTCAAGTCAAATTTTAACTAATTAAATTTATTTATTCATTAAATATTAAAATAATAATTTTATCATATTTATTTATTATTTACTATTATAATAATAATTTGTGGTTAAAAAAAAAAGAAAAAAAATCAACACTGCCGTGTAGAGCTGGTAATTCGGGCCGAGCCCGACGGGCTAGCCCGAATTAGCCCGAAAAATTTTAGGGCCGGGCTTTAAAAAAAAGATGTTTTTTTATGTTCGGGCCTATTTGGGCCGGCCCGAATAGGCCCGAAAAAATTCGGGCCAAGCCCGATTCGGGTTCGGGCTTGGCCCGAATACCCGAGTAATTTTATTTTTATTTTTAAAAATATATAATATATAATAAATATTAATTAATTCTTTAATTTTTAGGTTATTTTATACTAAAATATCATATATTTGAGTCCTAAACATCATTTAAGTATTAAAAATATATATTTTATATTTTTTTATAAAATAAAATAATTAATTTTAAAGTAAAAAAATTAATTAAAAATAATTTTAAAAATAAAATTCGGGTATTCGGGCCGCCCGAAGCCCGAAGGAATTCGGGCCGGACTTAGTCATTCGGGCTGTTTAAAAAAACGGGCCTGTTCAAGTTCGGGCCTATTCGGGCCGGGCCTATTCAGGCCGAGCCCGAATAAGCCCGGCCCGCCCGAATTCCCAGCTCTACTGCCGTGGACCACGGTGCTCAAAATTAGCACCGAAGCCGAACCCAGCGAATCATGGCTTCATCGTCCAACTGGGCTCTGTTTCCTCCCAATTTTTGAACTAAACAGTATCATTACTGATTACTGTACTGAGCATCACCGATTCTCCCACCAAAATTGCATTTCTCCTTCTTTTTCCTGCGTCTGAACTCTGAACCCTCTTCTTCTACTTACTATTCATTGTCACTCTCACTTCCCAATGCCCACCAATTCTTGCTTCATCTTTTTCACCATCATCTCCTTCTTCGTCATCACGAGCATGGTTTGTAGGGTTCGAGCAGTGGGTGTGAACTGGGGTACTTTAGCATCCCACCCTCTTCCGCCTCCAAAGGTGGTGAGCCTCTTGAAGTCCAACAATATCAACAAGGTCAAGCTCATTGATGCTGACTCAAACGTTCTTCAAGCGCTTTCCGGGTCTAACATTGGCGTCACTGTGGGTATTCCTAACTCTATGCTTAGAGGCTTGAACTCTTCCAAGAAGGCTGCTGACAGCTGGGTCCATGATAATGTGACTCGCTACTTTCTTAATGGGGGCAGTGGAGTTCGAATCGAGTATGTTCTATATCTATATGCTTCGTGGTTTTATTCATGGGTTTGGTTAGATATTGCGTTTCGATTCCTGGATCATTCTGTTTCTCCTTGATTTTGCCGATAAGTTAATATGATGCCAACAGCTGAGTTTAATTTCCTGACTTGGTTGTCTATTTTGCTTGTGGTTCTTACTTGTTATTTCTTATCACATAGCTCCATCTGAGCCTTGATGAGGCCCTGAAGAACAAAACAAGAGTTAATGATTGCAAAAACTTGGAGGTAGTATGGCTTGTAAGTTGTAAATAAAAGAACATTGCGGTAAACGCAATGACAGTATCCGTAAACAACCGCTGATCTTATTTATTTTTCATTATGTTGGATTTATCCTAGCTAATGCTTAGAAAAGCTAGTTGAATAGCCACCTTTAGTGACCAAAGATTCTTGCAAGCAATCCTTTAGGTCGAGTCCATGGCTGCCATATGGAATCCCCAGAGTATCACTTGTGCGCTAACTGCAGTCTTAGAGTATAAAATCCTTATTGCCATTTGTTTGGTACAGAAAAGAAAGGCTATTAGAAAAAACAAAACAAGTTTAGTTCTTTGGTTGAGCGTTGAGACGGTAGAGCAAGAAGAATACTATAAAATAAATTTGTTGCCGCTGTTTGTTTGCTCTGTCTTGGCAATTTTCAAGTGCAGTACAAATAGGGTCTTGCATTTTCTGGAGCCTGGCTTATTTAGTTTTTTCTTTACTCGTAGCCTGATTACCTCCTTAGGTGGAGTGGGTTGTTCCAACTTGTAATTGTCTGCTAGTGCAAATATGGTGATGATAATAACAGGCGGTGAAGTTATAACATGTTGCATTGCATTTGCAGCCAATCCCTCTGCCTCTAGTGGAAATGTGGTTCTAATACAGAAGAAAGTATAGCATTTAGTCTTTCTTGCATGAATGATGCACCTATTGATCTCAGGTGGAAACTTCATGTTTGGGTCTGTCCTTTTAAGGATTAAAATTCAGTTTTCACTTATAACTTAGTCCTTTCCAGTATAAATCTGTAAGTTGGTCGTGTTAATTACTGGTTCTGGAACCTGGGAATATTTATTGTGGCAACGCTTAATTAGTTTTCAGTCTTAGTCATATAATTATAATGCAGTCTTGCTGTAGACTTTTTCTTTTTTTCTTTTTTTTTCCTTTTCTAGGATAGACTGTTTAATGGAACATGTATCTTGTATTAAAACTCAGATCGCCTGAGCCTAATATTTGTTAGATAAGTCACACTGAGAGCCAATATGGGATCAAATTGAGTATTCTTGACTCACTGGTCGTCCTGGTCTTCACATCATCTGCTTTGAAGACTATCTTATGTATACTCCTTCTTTTGCTGCTATAAAGCATGAATTTCCACTCCCTTGTCTTTCTATTCTTGCAAAATATTAGAAGGTAGAATCTTGAGATTCATGTTGAAAACAGACTTGGTAACTAAAGTGTTCCTATGATATTACTCAAGATAATCATTAGCATTAAAAATACAAGATCAGGTAAAAAAGAAGATTTCCTAACTTCTAGATAATGATTGGCTAATAATCCTATATGTCAATCTCTTTCATCCTTTAGCACAAATCTAATAAAAAATACTTAGTTCTAGGTAATGGAACCTATACAGTTGGCCCAACAACAACAACAATGGTGAAAGCCATTTTACACATTATGAAATTAGCTTTCAAAGTAGATGGAGAGATGACCTTGTGTCATCTTTATATTTCTTGTTGGTTTAGTCAGCTAAACAGGCTAATGGGAAATTCATCTAGGTGTTATGTACTACCTCCAAACCATAATATAGGGTGTTTTCTAGAAGCCTTACTTGGTCCAAAATATAAGGTATTGGTTATGTTTTACATATTTTTATCTAGTCATAACCTTGCTTTATTATATTCCACTTGAGTAATTAATGAGGATGTTTAGAATAAATCAAATATTATATTTATTCCACTTAAGGGTATTATTGGAAAGATAGGAATTTTTTTAAAAAAATCAAGATTCTAACCAACTTTTTGAGATATGTGAATTAGTTAACAAGGACTTATATTGTGGTCCAAAAGGAGTACTCCAATAGTCTAGTTGGAGGCTCTTCGATTGAGTTAACTGTATTGTAAAATTTATTCCTTAGCCTAATTAGGAGTGAATTATCTTTGAAGAATGATCTGATTCTAGATGTGATCCTAAACATAACCTATGCAGATATGTTGCTGTGGGTGATGAACCATTTCTCCAATGCTATGGTGAGCAATTTCATCCCTTTGTCATCGGAGCAGTTACAAACATTCATTCGGCTTTAGCGAGAGCGAAATTGGATAGCAAAGTGAAAGTTGTGGTTCCATTCAGTTTTGACAATTTCCAGTCAGAATCTAACCTTCCCTCTAAAGCCTATTTCAGACCTGACCTCAACAAAACCATGATTGAACTCTTGTCATTTCTTAATAAGCATGAGTCCCCTTTCTTTGTGAGTATTTCTCCTTTCCTAGAACACCTTCAGAACAAAAACATATCGCTGGACTTTGCGCTCTTTAAAGAAACAGCACACATTCGCAACGATAACCATAGAGCATACAAAAACAGCTTTGACTTGAGCTATGATACAGTGGTGACTGCATTATCAGGCGCAGGATTTCCAAATATGGACGTTATCATGGCGAAGATTGGTTGGCCAACAGATGGAGCAGTCAATGCAACTTCATACCTTGCAGAGACCTTCATGAAGGGTTTGATGAACCACCTTCATAGCAACTTGGGTACCCCGCTTAAACCTCGGCATCCACTCACCGAAACATACCTATTTAGCCTTCTCGACGAGGACCAAAGGAGCATTGCTTCTGGAAACTATGAGAGGCACTGGGGTATATTCACTTTTGATGGCCAAGCAAAGTACCAGGTGGATCTTGGTCAAGGTCCATCAAAGAGCCTTGTGAATGCACAAAATGTTGAGTATCTTTCTTCCAAGTGGTGCGTGGTGAACAATAATGAAATTATGCCATGAGATTGGGCAAAGTGACTTTTTTAATCTTCTCCCCTCTATTACTAACATTCAGCTTGGCTGTTTTGATCAAATTTAGATGGCCCGGGATCCTTTTTTTTTAGCTTTTCTTTTATAAAATAACAATGACAATGTCAAAATTAACAACAGAAAAGTAAATTGGGACAGTTTATGTTTAATCTAAATGACTCAAAAATTGAACTTCAGAACAGGAGAAAAGTAGGTATAAGAATCAAGAAATCGGTTGTTATTTTCTCCTTTGTCGATCGTTTCAGTAAACGAAGGATTCACTTTAGATGGTTTATATTGTATTTTTATATTTAAAGTAATAAAACAGTGAGAAAACCAAAGTTTTAATTATAGATTCCATTTTTTGGTAAAAAAAAAAATTAGATGTTCAAATTTGAATTACTTGAACTAAAATAATGGATTGTTATCTAATTTTTTTAATTCTACCAAAAATTCTATGTTTTATTTTTAGTCATCAATAATAAATAAATATTTAAAGAATGTATTGATTTATAAAATTTAGTACAAGGTATCCCTATATTAATAAATAAATTTAAGGTATAAAAATTTAACAAAGTTGCGCTTTCTAATCTTGATGGGTTATAAAATGCATTAGACTTTCATCTTTTTATTTTATTATAGGTTAATGAGCAGTTTAGATTCCAAACTATTACACAAATAACATTTTAAATTTTAAACTCTTAAAACATGCAAAAATTCTTCTTAATTTGTAAATTTCAAGTGTATAAAATCCCACTATTAAGTTTGAACAAATAATTGTTATTTTAACAATCAAGATGAGTGCTACATTAGCAAGGGAATGATCCCCACAACTAAAAAAGTAATGACCGTCTTCTTTAATTTAACAATGAGATTTCAGGTGTTTGGAATTCAGAAGTTGATAAAAGTTTTTGCATATTTCATAAGTTCAGAGTTCAAAATGCTATTTATGCAATAGCTTAATAGCTTAAGGTTTAGGATGCTCATTGATCATTTTATTATTTGCTATTCTTTTTCTATCTCTCCTCATAATTCGATTACAATTTAACTTTAAATTTTAAATTTTCCATCTAAAGATTTCGTTCAAAATGCATGGGATATTATTGATTTTTATATAAATTAATATTAAATAAAAATTTAAATATTGTGCAATATATATAATCATTAAATAGTGAATTTAATACAAATATATTATGTAAGTAGGATATTAAAAATTGCCAATTTTAAATAACATGCATTGGTCCTAATGAAATGGGATATATTGCCATTTAAGTATGGGGTGTCGAGTTTGAATTTATATGAGTACATAAAATGTCTTTATAATGCTTAAATTTGACACAATCAAATAGTCATAAAAAAAATTGTCAATTGTCATTTATCATCATCTAATCTATTTATATTACAACATATAAACACATTAAAATGTATCTCTCATAGATTTTTTTTTTGAAAAAATATAAATTTTAGTCCCTATACTGTGCTTGTGATTTGCTATTGGTTTCTAAACTTTATTTTTGATGTCTTAAGTCTTTGCAGTTTTCTCCATCTATACTTTAGGTCCCTAACTTTCATAGGATGTTGATGTGGCATTAACGGTATTAATTATGCTTGTGTGGACAATAACACCATTAATTATATAGTCATGTGTCAATTAGTAGCTGATGTGTTTTTTTTCTAGGTAAAAAAAAAAAGAAAAGATGATGTGTACTCCTTCCGATCCTTATTACAAAACACTTTCAATCCTTTTACACATATTAAGAAAAGTTAGCTTTTTAATATAATAAGAAAATGATATGAGCTTTTATTTTTACCCTTAATTTTAAAAAATAATACAACTACATTAAATACCTTTACGTTAATCAAGAAAAAGTAAAATTAAAAGAAAAAAGTAGTTTAATTATTACAAAGTGTCTTATATTTTGGACAAAAAATTCTTTTAGAATATATCCTGTAAATAGGACCCAAGGGAGTATTTTTTTAATAATTAGAAAGTGAAAAAAATTTATCCTGACTCCGAACCTGAATAATATATTTTACACGTTAAAAAATAATATACCATCCTGAACCTAATTCCAAACTTGACTTTGGAGCATAAAATCATAAGAAAGTTACTTTAAAGCACAGAATTATAGCAAACTTAAAAATGGACCTGTGATATTTTTTTTATAGCCTTAAATCCTACTTTTATATATATAACAATTATTAAAAAGTACACATAATCTTTTCTTTCTTTTTTTCCCAGAAAAAAATACACATCAACCATTAACTGACATGTCACCATATAATTAATGGTGTTATTGTCCACATTAGTATAATTAACATCATTAATGCTACGTCAGCACCCCTCTAAAAGTGCAGGGACCTAAAGTGCAGATGGAGAAAACTATAGGGACTTAAAACACCAAAAATAAAGTGTAGGGACCAATAGTAAATCATATGCAAAGCATAGGAATTAAAGTTAGGTTTTTCCTACTTTTTTTCCTTTTTAAGTATGGTACTTGCTTGATATAAGTAGTGGTGTGTGTGAACACCGTATTTTGTCCGAGCATTTTTTTAATAATAAATAATCAAAAAATATAATAAATATAAAAATAAAATTTAATCTTTTTTTAGGATTATGTTTTCAAAAAATATCTTGCTTAAATTTTTTTTTAAAAAAATCTCTCTCAAATTATCCCAACCATTCAAAGATATTGAGAATCAATTTTTGAAACTCAACTATTTTTAAATTTCTCTTCTTAAATCTTATTATTTTTCATTTTAAAAATATATATATTACAAAATTAGATTTTTCTCTCTCCTCTAGTATGAAAAAAAGGGGGATAAAAGAGGCATAAAAGAAAGAGAGAGAGAGAAATGGGGCGGGTGAAAATCTTCACTCAGCCCAAATTTGCTTTCAGCTGCTGGCAAAGAAAGGAAAAGCAGTGAGAAAAGGGAGTTTACTCGGTGCATCAGAAGGAAGAAAGAATAGGAAAGTAGAACACAGCCAGACACAGACATGCACGCACATATGCTTTCAGCCATGCAGCAGAAACAGGAACACGAAACACCAGCAAAGCAACATGCGTAGCTGATAGGAAATTAGTCGCTTATTCTCAAAATTACACTAAAGTTAACCCTAATGCAATATAGGGCCAACCCTAGGTCATCTCCCAAGGAATGGTTTTAAGTCTAATTGAAAGTTATCTAGTGAAATAAATCAACCAAAGTTTGTAGGAATTTAGTTACCTAGCTAATTATCTAAACTAATTACCTAATGTGCAAGTAATTAAAATGCTAGTGAAAGTGAGTGAAATGAACTTTCCTTTTTACAATAATGGAACCCTAGAGATTAGTTGATTTTGGACTCATTATCTTCTCATGATTAGGCTAAGTTTAACTTCCCTTTCCTCTTGACTAAAGCTGTCATGACTTAAGAAAATTATCCTAAGCCAATTAACCTAATTAGCTAACCTCCCTAGGTCTTAGATTAAAGTCCCTAGTTCAATTAACCAATTGGTGAAGACATTAGCCAAGTGATTCACTCAAAATCCTCTCTCAACAGCCATGGTCAAACACATAAATTGAGCAACCACAAGATTATGTCAAGCTACTCAACAACACAAGCATTAACACCACAAGATTATGCAATATTAACACAAGAAATTCACTAATTGAAAAACACAAGATTATGTGCCAAACAAAGAGTGGCAAAATTCATTCATGGCTGTCCAAGGAAGAAATTAAATGAAACAATCCTCTCTCTTTACATCAACATCAAATTCAAATTAGAATTTATAAGCTAAGATGATTAAACCCTAGATTAAGGAATCTAACCATCTAGTAAAAAGAGAAGAGGATCGGAAACAAAAGAACTTAGCCAATTTGAAGCTCAAGACTCATCCTCCATCTTCATCTCTCTAGGATTCCACAAAGAAACTTAGCCAATCTTCATCTTCAAGAACCCTAGTGATTGCTTGTGAAGGCCAAACTCCATAGCTCTTGAATGATGGAAATGAGCTTCAATCCTTGTGAAAATGGAAGGGATGGAACGAAAATGAAGAGAGGAGAAGAATGGTATGAGTTTTGTGGAGGTTTGGTGGCTGAAAATGGAGGTTAGGGTGCTGGAAAATGAAGAACAAAAGAGAGAAAATGAAGAACACTATGAATAAGAGAGAGAGAATGTGGAAGATGAATGAGATATGTGTTGGATCCTATTTGGGGCTTAAAATGGCGTGCTCCTTGGTGTCTCCCATCAGCTGAAGCTTAATTAAAATAAGGAAAAAGAAATTAAAATGTAAATGGGAGCCTTGTCACACTTGCAAGGTGGCAACTTCCTATTGGTTTGTAGATGATTCCAATATATGCCTAATTTCCCATGTGTCATCCACATCATTTTAGCTGATTTAACCCCTCAAAATAATCATAATTCACGTGCAAACCATCAGCCATTGACCTCAAGGAGTGTTGACCTCAATTGCCCAATTGATGCACAAGTCACACATGCCACCTATGTCACATAAATCACATAATTCAATTAAATAGCATATGATATAATAAAATCTAATTCATGTCCAGAATTAAATTCATAATTAGAAGGGAGAATTTATTAAATTAACCAAGTTTCAGGCTGCATAAAATTATATAAAAATTTCCACATAAAGGCAAACCAAAAACTAGGACAAACTAAGACACTTAAGAAAGTGTTGACTTTTTTATTTAATTACTCCCAAACTAAAATGAATTTTAAAAATATAATTTCACAATTCATCAACTGGACATAAAATGCACTTTGTTAATTTTTCTTGTACATTTTCTCAAAAGTTCATTTTTTGGACCAAAATGCCCCTAGTGCACTGAACCTAGAAACTTAGGCAAAGTTCCAAATCTAATACAATGTGTGCACTTGAAGGTGATAAATCATTAATAAAATGGTCCTAATTGACAAATAAAAGTGGGTAACAAATGTGTTCTATCAGTAGCAGAAAGAAAACAGAGCAAAAAAAAAACATAGTTCGGCACGCTGAAGAAGCACACACACAGGGTTAGAAATAGCAAGAGCAGAGACGTGTATGGCAGAAGAGAAAAGTGAAAGAACACGTACACACACTTTCA